ATATATAAATATATAAAAGGGAACAGAGTATTTTTACTGCATTTTGAGGTCGACACAGATTTAGTCTCTTACCTGACAGATTTTGACACAAACTATTAGCATAAAGCACTCCTGCAGCCTTCTCCCTTCCTCCCTTTCCATACACCAGCATAAGGGTGAATGGCTTTCCCTCCCAGGGAATCATTACTCACACAGGGAAGGGTCTCCTGGACAGCACCAAGGTAACAGTAGACTGGAGGACATGTAAAATTCCAGCTGTTTTTAACCTTGGCCCACGCGCAGGAGTCTTTTGTTTTCAAAGACATGAGCCCAAATCATCTTAACCACCAAGGTTTCACATTAAATTTGAGAAGAACTTGCCCAGAGAGGGTCTCCTTCCAAAGGCCCCGTCAATGCCATAAAAAGAGGCTGCTGCAGAAGGGCGAAAAGGGCGCTGATCAACGACTGCAACCCTGTCAAGCTGCCAAACTGAGTGGAGGGGTATCTGTCAACAGAGAAAGCAACAGCATTATTCTATGTCACCTTGACTGTTCACATCACCCAGATCAGATTACATTCCCAGTTGACTAACACAACAGAGCACAGTCCCCAGACAGGCATAATATGAAGAACTTCTCTCTCCTGGACTTAGGTGTAACTGCCTCTTTTTCTAGAGTATTTAGCTATACCCGATGGCATGCACAGTGCTCTCTAGAGCAGAATGCAGTTGCCAACAAGGCTGGAGCCTTGCTCTCCAGATTATTCTCCTCCTGAGCTCCCAAACTTTAGTAGTATCAGATCCAGCACTTGTTTTGTAGCTGTACTGTAGGCAGGTGGGTGTGCTTATACAACTAGTGTTCCTTTTGCAAAGGGAGCAGAGTGTTGATGTTTACAAGTTAAAAGCAGGGCTGCTTTATCCAGATGACAGCATTTGTGGCTGAGCAATCATTTTCATCTGGTCATAACAATTTGCTCCCTTTAGAAGTGAGTGAAACCTGCACAACAGGTTAGCATGTGTTTTCCTTTTTAGAGGACAAGCCTGATCCTATGTCAAACTAAATACTGTTGATTGGGAACTGCTGAATATCAGATACTGCTAATGGAAAAATAAATTTCACAAACAGTCTAACATCTCTTTCCATGACCGAGCAGTGTTTAAAAAGGGTCAGGTTAAACTAAGCTTGGAAAGAAAGAAGTGGATCAAAACCTCCAAATATTCAAAGTAGTCCCATTCAAAGCAAAGATACCTCACGTGAAGGAAGTTCCAGAGAGTTGCAACGGTCAAACAGGATTAGTTTACAAGCAAGCTGATATATACAGCAAGAGGCATTTACCTTGCCCAGGACAAAAATCTTTTACTTCTAGCTGCCAGGGAACCAAAAGTTTATGCATTTTTGAAGCAGAGTCTTGGATGGGTTTTCTAGTCTGGATTCCTCAGACACTGAGACCAAAACCTTTGACAGAAGGAGTCTGTGGAGTTGTAGAGTCTCCATCCGTGGAGATATTCAAACACCCAACTATATGCAGTCCTGCTCTAGCTGACCCTGGTCTCAAGAGGTCCTTTCCCACCTCAATGATTCTGTGATTCTCTGAAAAATAACAGCGTCTTTCTGTTCCTCTGTCCCAACAGCTCAGGACAGAGGGGTATATCTGTTTTCAGAACCAAAAACATTGCCTAGTAAGGAAGAGAGTATTTAGATTCAGCTATTGATAACTTTGGTAAGTTGGAAACAGGATGGATAATCTCTCCTGGGAAAGGGAGGAGGAATCACCAATGGTTATCTTGAGCAATGCTTTACCAATGTAACTTCAGAGCAGACGAAGCAATGTATTGAATTATGTTAATGTTTTACTTGGACACTACTACTCATTACAAGACAAAAAAAGCCTTGAATTTTTACTATATAACCTTAGTGTCGATAGCCTAGTCAAACCTGAGGCCCATGTATAGCTGTGCCTCTCACTGCAATAGGTATGCCAAAGGGGTTAGCTGTTTCTAAACAACCAAAGCATCAGCTAGGACTTAAGTCCAGCTACTGTCATATCCAGTGGTGACTGAGGAAAAAAGTTGCATCATTTTTCCCCTCCAACCATTTCCTGATCTCCCTTCTCACCTGGACAGCTTATTATCCCAAACCAGTTTATCTGGCCAGCCATATATTATAGTTCAGCAGAGACTTACACAGCTGCGTAGAGGCCTCCCACAGCTGAGTGGATGAATCCTCTCACAATTGTATGCAAAATGAAGGAAAGAATCTGGAAAGAGAAGCAGAAAAATGTCACATCCTGGACACCACGTAGGTGTGCCAGACCCCAGCATACACCCATTCCTAAAACCTGTTCTCCTTTCTGGTACAAAGCTGGGCTTGAGGAACCCAGAATCAAACAGCTTTTCAGGTCAGCACAAGGGAAGAAATTTGTACTAGTCTCTAAAAGCACCGCTTTCCCTTCGCCAAGGCTAACATGGAGTGCCCCCTGAGGTTAACCACGCACAAGACCTAGCTCATTTGTAGGTGGCACTGCTGCAAGGACATGACCCCAGTAACCTGTGGCCAGGGTCACAATGCTTTTTTATTGTGCTTGTGGCATATTTAGTTAATTTTCTACAAGTTATTGTGGATAATACGCAAGTATGAGCAAACTATCTCTGTTTGCTTACGTCATCAAGGCATGTTTAAGTATAGCATAAAATCACCGAACTCCTCTGTCAAAAACAGATGGTGCCACAAAATAAATATTTTAACAGGTTTATAATCCCACGGGCACCACTGGGCATAGCATTTGATGCAGAAATAACCTGCTGTATATATCTGTCACGCTTCTTACAGCAAATTTTCTGACTGTCAGCAGCTTAAATCGAGCCCTGGTTAAATGCACAGGCACTGCTGAGAGGATCTCGGTAGGAAAGTGTTGTTACACAGCTCAGCTGCAGAAACTTCTATGTGTGAATAAATTGTGGATCAACTCTGACATTTTAGCTATAGCTCTTCTTTAAGTTCCCTCAAGAGATGTAAACTGCATGGTATCATTTGTTTCAACTCTAAGACTGGGGTTCCCAAAGCAGTACGGGAGTCTCCCAGCAGTGCCAGAAAACCCTCCTGCCACTAGCTGGGTTCTGCCGGCTTGCAGGACCTCCTGGCACTGTCCTGCCTGTCATTTTGCCAGGACCCACACTGCCAGCCCCTCCAGCACACCCACCCATTTGAACCATTCACCTGCAACGGTAGATTAGGAATAAGACAGGTGATTCCAAATCCAACCAACAGGACATTTGTGAATGCAAAGGCATTGGTGGCATTGGTGATTTTCTGGATCTGACGATCACGCTTTTTCTTTTTCTTGTCACTTCTGGAAGGATAGCAAAACCTATGTTAAAAAAAGCACTTTCAGCAGCTACTGAAATTCACAGCAAGATTCTCCACATAACACATCAATTATCTAAACCAGTTTGGCTAGAGGTCTGCCTAAGGAGGTGGTGGGATCTCCATCAGTGGAAGCTGAGGAACATCTGGGCAATTATTTCAGTGCTGTTACTCTTACTGTTAGGCTAGAAGGGAAGTCTGAGCATCCCCTGCTAGAATTTAAATTTGCTCTTCTTGACTGATCTTAGTGGACATGGAAGATAGTTTGGTCCTTTCCTCTGCAATTATCAAGTCCTCCTTCAGGCGTTCTTTTCTATACTGAAGAACCAATATCCTTTTCAGTCTTTCATCACAAAACTCATTATGCAGAGCAGATGAGGCCTGCTACGTGGCTGCATGTCCCGTGTGGCACACACTACGCACTGCTCAGCGTTGCTCTCCTCATTGTCTTCTGAGCCATCATCAGACTCTTTCAGGCGCCAATCCATGATGTACCCGATCACAGGTGCTGTCAGCAAGCACAGCAGTTGCAATACCCCAAAAATGGAAGTGTAGAGAGCCACTGCAGGGGGAAAAAAAAAAAGATTAAGAAGAGTTGTCAGTCCAAGTGGTACCATAGCAGCAACAGGGGAAAAAAAAGAAAAAAAAAAGAAAAAAAAAGAGACAGAAAAGAAACTGTTCCTCCCCATTGATCACTCTCTCATTAAGAGCCCAGACCCCCAATAGTCACGGGCTAACAGGCAGGGCTGAAGGAGCTGGGGCACCAAAGCCCCACTTCTTCATTTAGCCTCCCAGAGACATGACATTGGAGTGTACATACTGGGGGCACTTGCTTCAACCATTCTGATCCTGCATTAGCATTCTCTGAGCAGCATCAGCCCAACGGCAGGTAGGGCTGCAGAAATGGGACCCAGCAACTGCTTAGTGCCAATGAGGTTTTCTTCCGGCTAGGACCAACAGGGAAAGTTCTTACAAGCAATATATCCTGCACAGGCAACCCTGCCTTAGTCATCAAGCTCCTGCCTTGCTGGGAGCTGCAGCTACTTCTCCATCTGGGAAGCTCCAGCAAGGAGAAGCCAGGCTGGGAAGGTGAGGACTAACCCATTTTGTGCTGAATGGACAAGTCTGGAGGCAAGGGGAGAGGACATTAACAGCAAAACTCACAGCATCTGAGAGCAATCATTAAAAACTCAAACTGATGGGAATTCCCCACGTGTTAAAGATGGGAGAAGTGTCTAATTGGCTTGCTAAGGGAAAGCTGATGCCAGCAGACTGAGAAGAAACTGTCCCCTCCTGTTACTGAACAGTTCCCCCACCCTGCAATGCTTTTTCCACTTCCTCTCTGCAGCCCACTTGATGGATTGTAGGCATCACAGAAAAGGGCTGGTGAGTCACAGTGTACCACAGCTCTGAAATAAGGATGTAATTCTGAAACTGGCTATCTCAGCACTGAGTGCTTACAAGTTACAGCACTGTAAGCTAAACAACCAGAAAGAATGCTAGTTTGTCCCTCTCAACACATTTCTAGATCTAGCCAAAGCAGTAGAGCCAGGTTTTATACCAAAATCAACTTGGTAATGGAAAGAAATTGCTCACAAGCCTTTCTCTCCTATACAGTCGCAGCAAACCCCAGCAGGGCTGCCTTGCTGTGCTAGGCATGGCACCTGATGATACCTTCCTGGCTCCAGTTGCTGGCAAGAGAATCAAGAGGAACTTCCAACTCCAGCCTCCAAGCTCACATTCATGCCCCCATTACCTCTGCAAAGGCAAGCCCTGAAGTGGCCCCACATCCCATCTCATTATAGCAAGTGCTGTAGCCAAGAGAGACAGGTGGCATCACCCTCTACAAACACTCTTGGAGCTGATTTGCTGTTGTCTGGTTATTTTTTAATAGAGGGTAAGAAGCAAGCCACGCTGTCATGTTTTGCCTCTTCGTGTTATTCTGAACACTTAATCTTGGGCTCTGAACAGCAAGAGAGGAAGCCAACTTGAAGCAGCAAATGAATTTATGGGGTCAGCAGGAGAACAGAAGAGACAGTAGCTGCTACAAAACAGGACCTCCTCAATGTACCATCTTAAAAAAAAAACCCAAGTTCTTTTCTAAGGAGGAAAGAAAAAAAAAAAAGAGCAAATACCAGAAGTAGATACGGCAGAAGTAGAAGCCTGGATAGAGCAAACAAAGGGTGCACACATGGGCACAATCCTTTACATCCACTGTCTTTACATGTCTTTCCCTCAAAACTATTCTGAGCAAGCACCTCCTACAGCTGAGTTTCCCAGCCCACCCTGATTCTACCTAAGGTCTCCAGGTATTACCAGATTTGAAAGCAAGGTGACAATTTATGAAAGATGTGGCCAAATTTCAAGTTCTAGACACAACAGGTCTACTTCCTCCTGCCTTCCTACAACACAATTACAGTCACTTACAGAGCTACTGAACCCCTTGGCTTCTTCCTGATCTTTTGGGGGTTTTCAGAAGATAAGCAGCCACAGGCTGACTGCTTTTTCCACCTCTAGGTTTCATGACAGGTCTAAGTCACCATAATCTGCACGGGAAGCAGGACTTTCAAGGATACAATGCCTCACTGCAACTTAAAGACATCACTCCCTATCTGAATGATTTTCCCCACATTCTTCTCTCCTGTTCTGCTCCCAGCAATATTTAAGTTTTCTTTGACCATAACACTTGCAGCATTGACTCAACTCTCTTTTTCCCTTGCTGAGTGCTCCTGAGAGCAGTTGCAGGTGGAGGGAGCTCTCTTGACAAAACATGACCAAGTAAATAACTGCAAGAAGAACGAGGAATCCAAGGGAGCAGTGATCCGCGCAGATTACATTTCTAGAGAGCTGCACACATCTTGGAACTGCTCTTGCAGCCTGACACTGCTGCGATTAGACAATACCACTGTTTTGCTGATGCCATGGAAACACCAAGACAGTGAACTGCACTGCGAGCCCAGGCTACATTCAGAAGGAGGAGGAGGGAGAAAAAGGGGAAGAAATGTCAAAGGTGGCACAGAAAAAAAAAAAAAAGCAACACACCCAAAGGACCCTATCCCTTTTTTTAACATGGAGCTTGATCTAAACAGAATAGAGAGTATATCTAGCTAATAGTAATTCTACAATATCAAGCAGGGTCGGAAAAACGAAAGAGAAATAATTAGAGCAAGCCAAGGTAAAAAGAAAAGAAAAATCAGTGTGAAAGTTACAAGGTAAGCAGAAAACTAAGCTGTGTTGGGAAAGGTAGGCACTGTGAAGTTTGTCCTGTTTACTGTTTAAGTTCTAAATTGCCTCTTGAGCCAGGAGATAAAGAGCTGAATGCTGCAGGCTGTCAAAGTCTCAAGAAACAAAGCGATTCAGGGAATGCCAGGGCACTTGGAGTTTCCTGAGTTTCCTTCCCTCCCCCAGAGCTCACTCCTGTTTTCAGAGGAGTGCCTCTTGATTTATCAGCTTCATGCAATCCAGATTTAACAAGTTCAAACTGGATCTTACTACAAAGGACAAAAAAAAAAAAAGGCTAAGTCTCATTTTGCAATCCTGGGTATTTTCAACATCAGTAAACTAATGTACTCTTTCCTGTTTGGTCCATGTACTGAATCAGAGCTATAAATACAGACGAGTCCAGCGCAGTGAGCACCCCGGAGCCTCCCCAGCACACACCAAGCTGCACAAAACAGCTATGACTTCATTTCTCCCACCCCCGGTTGCTGGGCTGAGAAACCTAGTCCAACTATTAGTCATGAGAGTCAGCTGCTCTGTACTTTGTGCTTGCTTAGGATAAGCAGAGCAAATACCTGATGAAATAGGTTTTCCAATAAAAAAAATTATCACAGTCCAGCCTGAGAGGCTACTTTCAACAACCCATCTGGGGAAATAACATGGAATAGTATTTAACAGACACTGGGCTAAAATTAGCTTGACATTCAAGTGTCTACCTCGCTGCCCCTCTGTCCTGGGCTAGTTCCAGCCCTCTGCTAGACCCTACCAGCAGCTGTCAGCTACACTCTGACACCACTAATTGCCATATGCTGTGTATCTGCTGAGTAATCAGGCTTGCTGGCCTCTTGCAAGGACCAAGTCTGGGTCAGGTCCCAGTTACAAGGAAGCACATAAAAGTTTCCAGGTTACACTACCTTGATCTTCATCTCCAGACAGAAACTCAAGGATGGTATTCATAGCCCCCATGTAGAAGATGAGCCGCAGCTGAGTTACACACATGGTGATAAGGCTGAGCAACAAGATAGGACTGAAGACACTCTTCATGAAGGAGGGAGAAGCTGCACAAGGAATAATAAGAGTCTCTGAAGAAGGCGACATACCTTTGTAAACATGCACAATTTCAGAAGAGGCTTTCACCTCTGGGTTAGCAGGTCTCCTCCTCGCTAGTTGTTCCAATACTGCGTGCCAGTGGCAGCTTAAAGGTGTTCACAGTTAGCACCTACCTGGTGCCTTACAAAATTCCATAACAAACAGCTATAGATACCTGGAGTTTGGCTACCAGTAACTGGGGAAAGGGAGCAGGAAGGAAGACTCACCTAATTCTGAGGATTAAAGCAAAAGGAAGCTTCAAACCATTTGCTTTCGCCATATCCCTGACTAAGGAAGGCTTAGTCATGATGGCAAGAGTCTACCTAAGAGACAGCAGTGACCAACTGCACTGTCCTTCTGCAGCATTACCAGTTACCCATGCTCTTGTCCCCATCACTGACAACACCCTTTGGTGTATTTAGGCAAGTATACAAGGACAGGATTCCTTCTATAACTGAATTGTACTTAAATCATGGTGGCTGGCACACAGCCCTGGCAACCCATGGATCACATATGACTATCTCTTATAAACAGGTCTGGATCAGAGCAGAGAGGCCGACAGCCTTGTGCCAGCACAAGCATCCTTGGGGCACTCATGGAACCACACCTGTGTTGTCAGGCTGGCACTTCACTTCTAGGTCCACCGTAGACAGACAGAGCTTGTTGTTCTCTTGCAAGGTTGTTGGCTCCTTGGGGCCCTTCATGGAGCTCCCCACACTGAGACGGCGCCCCACAGTCGTTACTTGCTTGTAAAACTGTTTCCCAGTGATTTTGTGGTCAAATCCCAGCCAGCTGAACTTTATTTTCACCCTGTTGGGCAGTAAAGAGCATGAGAGCTGCAACACAGGATGAGGAATCAGAGGCAGCAAAGTTGCAGGAGTCAGAAAGGCTGTGTGTGGATTTAAGGCTCTAGCTTTCATCTACAAATGATGGTCTGGATCCAGAACACAGTAGAGATACTTCCCCTGGGCCAATTTGGCATAGGTCAATACAGAAATACTTATGACTACTGACAGATCATTTTTCCTTCATAATTCCTATGCTTTGGAAAGTTCCACTTTCCAGAGACATTCACCAGTCAAGACACGATGCTAATGGCAGACATAAATCCTCAACCTAAGAAGGAACGGCAGCAATAAAAAACATGCAAGGGAGTTCCCTATCCACTCCCCTAAATTAGCCAAGCCACCACTTTCTAGAGGATTAAGAATGGGATTAGCCCAAGGCCAGTCTAGGGGACACTTACGAATAGTCCATGTCTTCTGGTCCTGGGAAAGGCTCCAGTGGCCAATTGAAGAAACAGTTGAGAAAAACTAGTCCGGCACAGCTTGCCCAGACAAGCAGAATAAGGATGAAGGAGACCCCAAAGTCATATATAACCTGGAAATCACAAGGGAATACGGTTTTGGCTGTAAGAGCAGAAAGATACTTCAATATTCTTTGAATGAGGTCTGAAAGGAAGCTGTAGGAAAGAAAAACATGCTGCATTTAAAATGGGTTTAACTCAAGTGGTAACAAAGAACTGTTCTGTGACATGCAGGCTTGGAAAGAGATGTACATTCACATCTTTAACAGCACCTACAGCGACAACAGGACCTCCAGCTGGAATAGCACGCAGCTGTATTGCAGATGACTGCCAAAGGTTTTCATCTAGGACCTTCTCCTTGGAAAGCCAGCAGGAACTTCCTTACACACTTGAGACTGGCTTACCTTTACTATATCCCCCTTATGCCAACTCTGCAATGAAACATCTCTGGTTCAGAACCACTAAGTGATCTACCAAGGCAGCCCTAGTGACCATCTCTTCTGTCCCTTCAGTGCTGGTTGCTAGCTCTGAACTGTGTTCAAAGCCAACCACCTGTGATAATCACACAGATTAAATACACACATGTGTATTAAAATACATATATATCCACTCCTTAGAGTTTTAAAAAAGCAATCTTTCATAAAAAAAGATCTTCAGTTCTTTACTTTTAACACCTTTAAAATTTTACTATCAGCAAACACGCTGTTCTCTTTGCAGTATTTGTTGAGTTCTTGAGGCAGTCACTTGGGAGGTCTTTAACAGACAGGAACTCAATCTTGCAAAGGCACATCTCTTTTAGAGTGCTTTAACAACTAGTCCCTCTTTCTTTCCACATTATTGCTAAATGGTGCAAGACTACAGCACACCACCACCAGTCATGAGTCATGATCCCACAGCCTCACCTTGATTCCTGGAAAAGTCACAGCAGAGGAAGCATAGGAGCCAATCATCAGAGCAATAAACGTGGAACGAAGGTCACCAAACATGTTGGGCAGCTGGAGAAAGAAAAATTGGTTGAAACAGGCTGCTGCCAAGGGAGGGGAAGAAAAGAGGAGGCAGCTTTCTTCAGAAGATATTGGGATTTAAAATTAAGACTCCTGGATACCAGAATCTGAAGCAGCCAGTTTTACTCAGGAATGACTTAGCTCTTCAGCATATTGCTCTGCAGGTTGTATTGGTGCCTCCAGTGTCAGGGAACATCTACAATCCAAGATTTACGTGCGTAACGAGGCTGCTTCTTTCCAGACTGACAGCATACTTTGCATTGGTTACCTTTAGCACAGGACTCTTTGCTCCAGCCCTTGTGCTTTATTTAAGAGTTCCTCACCCCAAATCTGTAGCCACCACCTCTTTTCCTCTCCAAAAACTATGTGCCCAATTCTCTACATATCACCCTCTTCTCCGCATATCACCCTCTTCTTAGTCAAGAGTTGCTAGACACAGGCTTTGATTCCTGCACAGTCTTTAACACACCCTGCAACACCTTAACTGCCAGGTTTGTTTATGCATCTTGGGTCAGCACCCAAATCTTTGCAGCAGACCAGAAAGTTCCTGTTATAACAAGAAGGAAGAGACACAAACATGAACTGTGTTGCTGTTTGCATTTCCATTTCTAGCTAAGTCCCTGGCTCCTCCTGTGAAAGCAGACTCCCTACGAGAGGGGTTAAAGCTGGTCATTTCTGCATCAGTTGGATGGCTCTGATGCCCAAGCACACGACCTTGGAGCTAGGTGCAGGAAGGCAAACACTAGAAATCCAAGGCTTTATTGCCCAGCACAACTACGAAGCTGCTGAACTCTGCAGCAAGCAGCAGGCAACAGCACCTCACGTTGCTATTCCTGCCACCCACCCCACTTTGCTGCCTGGGCTCCTATCAGGTGTGATGGCATTGCTGAGAGCAGACCAGGCCGGTTCTGCAAGGATCTGTTGGGAAAGCAAAGCCCTCAGTAGGGACAGCTAGAAGCAGCTCACAGCAGCCACTTCTGCCACCTCAACAGCAAAAGCACTCCCAGGATGGCTCTCTAGCCCCTGCTTCCACTAGGACCCAAAAGTAGAGTGGGGCAGACAGAAAGAGCTGTGAGACCTTCCCACTCTCTTGGGAAAGGAGGAACTCCCCATTTTCCCTAAACAACCAGAAGCAAACAAGTTTTCAACACTAAGTAATGACAGCCTGCAAACTGGAAATTAGAGAGAAGGTTTGAAGTTGTAGCCTACAGAGAGCTCAACTGATATCTCCTGAAGCTGGTCAACAGGCAGATATTCTGCTGCAGGCAGACAGATTTCCCTCCCATCTCCTTTTTCAGGTCACTTACTCCTCAAATTCACTTGGGCATCACTACCACGTCAGCCTCAGAGGGTGTCAAAGCAGGACACTGCAGGTGCCTTCTAAGACCAAAAGCATAACTAGCATTTTTTTTCTGTTTAAAGATGCTGCTGAACAAAATCATTCAGAGAATATTAGACTGAGTCTGAGCAAGCAAATGCTGTCATCACATTCCCCTTCCACCACTGAAAAACAAATCCATCTTTCCCAGGAGTAGCATATAAGGCAAGCAAATCTGGCTTGTGTCACGGCAGGACCAGCGTGTTTACAACACAAGTATTCCTGTGCAGGAACACGGGAGGATCCATCTGGCTGTTTATCATCCCTCTGTCTCACTGCAGAGCTTCCTATGCAGTGCAGTCTCCAGGTCCTCAGATAACCCCAGCCAGAGAACAGCAGCAATGATGTGCCGAGCCTGACGCTGCACAGACGCACACGGCGGAGGCAGAAAACGCTGCACTCCTCTGCAGCAAGGATCCCCACACCCATCCCCAGATCCCTGCATGCGGGAGAGCTGCCAAGAGGCTGCTTTCAGGAGCTGCAGACAGAAAGCGGCAAAGGATCCAAAGGTCTGTTACCAGGCACACACAAAAAAAAAGATCTCTTGGAAGCAGTGGCCTAAATACACACCCTAGAAAACAGCATCTGCAGAATACAATACCTGCAGGCTGCAAAAAGGCAAGTCACTGTCACTAGGCAGGTTGTTCATTTCATCTCAAACACCCCAAACCTAAAATAATCTCCAGAAATTACAACAAACACCTGCTCCTGCTGGGGAACTCGGAGCAGGGCAAGGGCTCCACAAACACAGCTGCTTCTTGGCTCGGGCTGGTTTTCCCCAGAGATCACAAAAAGCCTTTTTCATACAGCAGACAAGCAACTCCCAGGTGGATCCTCCTGCTCTGAGGAGATGTACAGCAAGCCTGAAAGCAAGCAGTCGTGTCCGGGAAAAGCCAAGTCTGCTTCTGCCTCGATGGGGACAGAAGTCCTAGAAAGGCTAGAGATTTCCTAAAATCCTATTTGGCACCAATCAACTAGTTAAAAAAAAAAAAAGCCATAGGAGATTTAAGGTCTTATCCAACCCAATCAAAGTAGAAACAGCAAACACTGGGCACTTAGGAGGAAAACAAATCTGAGACTACCTGGAAGGGCAGAGGGGAGGTGAAGGGAAAAAAGTGTCTCTACTCAGATAGAAAACCTCTAGGAGTGCGAGTGCCAGCACTGGCAATGCCTCTGCAGGTCTCATCTAAAGACCAGCTACTAAAATAACACACGATATTTACTAAGCCATTTTTCATGCTGTCTTTATAGCAGTAAGCATTGGAAAAAATGAACCACAGGGAGGAAAAAAAAAACCCAAGCAACAGAGCAAGTGGTCTTTTTGTTTTTCTGCCACCGAAGTGATCCGATCCTCATTCTGAGCTTATCCCTGCAGGCAAGAAGGGACTCCTCCACCAACTTCTGCCCATTCTGCTATGACAGCCCCAATTGCACAAGACCTACAATGACAGAAGTTCTTACGTCTCCTGTTTAAAGGTCAACAATGATGTATTATTAGCTTTATGCCCTGTCTGCAAGATACTAACTTAATTTTGCCATACCATAACTGTTTTTTCCAGGAGTCCTTTATTACAGGTATGCAATCCTAACCTGCTAAAATAATTTCCTCTCTCAGATTATTTTCTCATCTGTCCTATAAGTTTAAGACCTTGGATCATTTTTTATTATTTTTCAGCTTTTTCCTGGAGACAATCCTTATGCAAAAGATACCACAGCAGTATTACCAAACCCAGTTTCCCTCCTCTTGCAAAGACTGAAAGAACAGTGGAAAAAGTCAGATTGAGAACTAGACTAATGGAGAATGGTATTTTTGTTCAAGCTAAACTTTGTTTTCCCTATTGGGGGGATATTTGGAAGTTATACGGACACTAAAAATACGTTCTCCAGGAAAGCCTCAAACTGCCTGCTTTGTCCAAAGCATATGGAAATTCCTGTTCCCATTCTCCAACAAACAAAAGATCACAGAGTCCTAAGTTTTCCTAATATTTCCGAGCAGAACAGATTCCCTGCACAGAGATGCCTCCCTGCTCTGATTAAAGGGCACTGTTTGTAGCAAAAAATAAGAGCAAAGCAGCTGTAATTCTTTGAAAGGAAAACAGGACAGAAAACAAGCTATAAAAGGCTCTTTGTGGTAATTTATCACACATGTTTATTTCTTTGCATGAAATATCTTCAGAGCAGAACCAGTGCCAGATTCCTGTGTTGCTGTCAGAGCCACCAACACAGATCTGTTTCCATTTCCAATCTTCACTTATATTGGCTAAGACCAAGTCACGAGGCAGAAATCTCCCCTCTGCATTTTAACAACAGGCACAGTCTGACCTTGTTCCCAGAACTGCCAACAGCACCACTCGCTCGCTCCCCCTCCTCCCCAAGCCACAACACAAGGCACCCAGGAACAGCAGCTTGCTTTGGCTCTGCCACTTGCCATGTGCTTTCACGATACCCTGGGGACTTGTTATTGAAAAAGGCTTTAAACCCAAGAGGCAAAGCTTCATGGAGTACTACCTCAGGCTGTAATCCTCAGAGATCCCATTTATCCCTTGCACAGGCACTGAGGATCCCAGTCTTCTGCTCTCCCAACATATCACACCATGCCCACGCACACAGGTGTTCTGGGAGGTTTCAACACCCAAGGAAACCCCACAAGCCGTAGCACCCAGGGAGCATCCCAACTCCACACGCTGCAGGGGCTCCCTTCATGGCCACCCTGCTACGAAGCAGCAACTGTAACCTGCCTGGGGTGGCCAGGGACCAGCTCCATGCACCAGTGGGTTTGACCCATTTCCTGGAGCACTCCAGGTCGCTTGCAGCTGGCAGGAGAAGGAAGTCACCTTGCTTTGACTTGTGTGTGCACGTGTGCGCTCGGCAGTCAGTGCCTGTGTCAGCCAGAACAAGCTTACTTGGCACCAGAAGTTGATTAGTGCTCACTGCCTCTGTGTAATGAACGTCCTCTAAAAGGTCTTCAAGTCTCCCCTTTCAGCACTTACTTCAGCCTCTCCTGGGCACCCACAGTGCATGCAAGCCACATCACCCAGAGCCTGCAAGCCAAGGACGGCCATCCCTGTGTCCCCCCCTTGCTGCACTCGCTGTCTCCATGGGCCACAGGTGGAAGGGACCCACAAGAGATGACCGTGTCACCGCAGAAGACGGCTCTCAACGCACCAACCGCAAGCACCCCAGCTTGCAGGCAGAACCACACAGGGACAAAACAGTAAGCTGCCAATGAGCAAAAGACACCTGATTTTAACAGTCACCACCACAGCTATGCTATGATGCAGGTGAAGAAGTGCTTCCCTCCCACCTTAGACTATTTTTAATCACATTCACATGCCTCAGGTACCAAAATGCCTCTGTGTGGCTCTGCAGGGAGGCACAAGCAGCTACATCTGAATCTGGATTTGAGAAGTCAAGCCTGAAGCCACCTCAGCTTTTTACAAAACACACTGGAGGGGATGGGCTCCACCTGAGGTCTCCCTGGGTGAACTCGCAGCATCACTACTTGCTTCAGACCTCCTCAAGGCTTCGATATCTTCTTGGAAGATTTGACCTTTTTCCTGCCACTGTACTTCCTTAGTGCTGCGGAACTGGCTCACTAATGAGGAAGCTAATAAGTGGCTTTCTTACTTCTTCTGGTGCTAAAAGCCACAGTACAGCACATCCAATATATTTCTGCTCTATCCTTGCCCTCCCTCCTATCATCACCAGTGGCTCTAAAATAATCTGTGACCCCTTAATAACGACCCAGAGAGGCAATAACCAATGCTGGCAGCAAGCAGGATGGGAAGCCTCTCCTCTCCTGCAGCAGTACTGATGTGCTCCTCTCTTCCTTGCTTTGATTTGAAGCGTGGCAAGATGACATTTGCCCCATGGTTCTTTAGGACCACGGCCAAGGCTTCTTCCAGTGAAGAACACTGCATATGAAGGAGACACCAACATCTGCGCAGAGTTTTGAACGCTCTGAATATATGAAAGCAACAGCAGCAGCAACATCACAGTACACACAGTGATCTGTAAACCCAGCCTCTGCCAAAGTTAGGTCTCAGGAGTTCAGCCAGTGTCTGAGCCTTGTTAGTCAGTGTCTAAGCCTTGTTAAATTAGAGGTAACCTTAACAGAAAGTTTTACTTCAACAGCAAGTTCAAAATATTGCCGTCCAAATCTGAAAGTTTTCAACCACAGCTCAAGAAACATCAGTGCTTCCCAGACTGTTTTCTGGAAGACTTTCCACCCAGCCCTGTTCAGCCACATTGACAAGGATCAGGGTACTGAGGTAGAAAATAAAGCAGCTACTTGGAGGACGATACTGCTCCCGTCTCCAGGCAAAAACAACCCCAAAATATAGATATCCAGCTGACAGTTGTTGACCAATGCTTGCAATACAATCTGTGGACTAACCAGATCTAAGCGGGCTGTGTGGATGGAGCTGGGAGCATTCAACAATGCAGCAATTCTAAGGAAACCTGGAAGGGACTCTCACCCTTCTGAAACCAAAAGGTTTTTGTGCTCAAGAACAACCCTTTTCCTGGGGCAAGATGCAAACTGCGCTTACAGAAAACTGGTCATACCCAGCTGCAAGGGTTTGTGCCCTGCTGATTCTTCCTGGAGTATGTCAATGCTAAATCCAGTGCAAACATGTCCAGCCAGTGCCAGATAGCTGAGCACTGCGTGTACAGGCATATGACAATTTGAGTCCTGCACAAAAACACTTCCTTTTTTTTTCCCTCCACCTTCACCTGAGATGCAAAGGGCAGGTAAAAAAAAACAAACAAAGGACTGGGGAAAAAAAAAGTGCCTTAGAATAACCACCTAGTGCTCAGCCTTTCAGGTAAAAGAATGACTGACCCTTTGTACAAAACAAAAACATCTGCTATTCAAGCCACAGGCAAAAGACCCACTTTGTTCTTTTCTGCTAGCCCAGCTAACAGTCTTAGTAAGGAATAAAGTAAGAGTCTGGTAATAACTCTTCACTTACCGTAAGCGATGTGAAGGTCATGCACATCCCACCAAAGCCATTCAGCGCCAACGCAATGAATATCAGCACAGACAGAGCTGCAACAATAAAAAAAAAAACGCCCTTAGCTTTTACTGGGGTGGAAAGGGAAAGGAGACATGAGCCCTGAGGGCTTTGGTCCTGACACATTAGAACCTCAGTGGATCAACACCCTCAGGACGCACCACGCTGCTTCCTGAGCCAGCACCCGTCTCCCCAGCCACACAGAGCAGGAGGGCCAGGGCCCTCTTCCAAGACTTCAGGATGGGCTCCTCTCTCCCCAGGATGGAAGGGTTTCTTTTCTGTAATGAACAGACTTGCTGATGCAGCTTGTCTGAATGGGTCCTAGGAAGCTTTACTTGAAAGAACTGGATGAAAAGCATCATCTCGCTATCCAGTCTTGAAGAGCAAGCTCCATCTACATGCAGTGAGAAAGCTGATTACACATTAATTACCTATTTACTACGTAATTACTTAGGAAATTACTTATTTCCCAACCCTGAAAGAGCCATGAACTTGTTTGGAATTGCCCTTTTACAGGACCTGACCCTGCCCAAACACAAAGCTGACAGACCTAGCTATCTCAGATGCTTGGCCCTTGCTACGCTTTCCACTTAGGGTTGTGAAACACTAGCCCTCGCCAGAGCCACTTAGGCCAGGAGATGTTTGGCTTGCATCCCCAGAAAGACCCCAGTACAGCACCGGAGCTGTGACAGTCAGAGCACGCTTGTCTCCTTCCCCAAAAAAAACCCCCAAGCTACAGCCCCAAAGCCCTCCCAGCTCAGAAAAACGCCTACTTACAGTCTGGGTTACTGGCACCATACGCGATCAGCACACAGGACACAGCAAAGCAGGCACTGAAAGGGAACCAAAACCATGAGTTTCTTACAGCCTTACACGCAGTAACTTACATATGCTTCTACCTCCTCAGCACTTTGTTAAGCAAGCGCAGTATAACTTCTGTAAGAGGGAGGGAAGCTAGAGATTTGGAAAGACAATATCCAGGGAAATACCCAAATATTACAGACAGACCTTGCACAAGGGCTGAGGCAGCAATCTCTCCTCCAGTACTTACACAGCTCTTGCTGGACCCAAATTCCCTACTGGTTTCCCAGCACAAAGCTTTGCCAGCCCTCATCTTGAGGTGACCAAAGACAGCAGCAGCCTTCATCCTGAGATCCAGCTGTGGTCACAGCACTCAGCCTTTACCTGCTCCTCTCTGGTAGGGTCTGAGTCAGAGACTTGCTCTGTTTTTCCCACTCTGTCTACAGGCCAGTTTGGTTTCTGGCACAGATCAGTGCATTAAAATTCAGCAGTGCTGGGGTCCACTGTCCCAACAAGTCATTAATCCCTACATGCCATGACAGAAACAGCTAACGACCTTGCTATTTGAGGCAGAAAGCAACACACACCACATGGCAGAGAAGGGCCCTAGAAAAGGCAGGCAGGATGTGTTTATCCCCAAGTTAACTCCCCAGCTTGCAACGATGATGTAACATCTTGGTTTTGTGCCTCTCAGGACATAGCTCCCAGCTCAAGGAAAAAGCTACCCTCCATGACTCACAAATGACTCCTCTCGTCCTCCAGGCTCCATCTGGCCAGGGAACACAGAGCACCACTGGAGAGCTGAACTCTGGACATGAAGTCCCAAGCCCTTCCCTTATGGAGCAATTCACCCTGCTGGCTGAAACCATCCCAGAGCTGCTCCAGTGCCGCTCCAGTGCCCTGTGCATGGCCAGCAGCTTCCAGTAGATCCCAGCCCATCCCTCATACAGTTCCCAAGGCTGCAGGGACCCCACAACAGGCACAGCACCCATCTTCCCCAGACAACACATGAATTCGCCCCTCAGCCCACCCAGGGAGCCCAGGACACCAACCTGCCAAGCAGCCGCAGCTTGCGAGGGCCGTACTTGTCCATGACAATTCCCAGGGGGAGTGTGATTGCACTGAGCAGGAAGGACCCAATGGTGAAGGCCAAGTTCAGCATTTCATCCTGGGCATTGCAGGAAGGCCATTTGTGCTCTGAAGTTGTGCTGTTCTCATATTCAGGGCTGCTGGTGGTGTTTCCTACACAGTATGACAGAGGATCATCATTGCAGTGCGTTAAGATGAGGCTTGCAGCACTGCAGGAAGGAGGGAAGAGAAAAGCCCTGCACACAGGGTGCCACAACACACTGGGCCTACACCCTCCACACTCCATTTTTTTTTTATTATATTCCATGATAAATGGAGAAGGGAAAG